CGTCCAGACCTGAATAACTTTGGAAACTTATCAAAATGAGCGATAACTCAATTGCAATATTCCATATGCAAAACGCAATAAACATTATTAATCTCTTTTCTAATTTACATAAATATAACAAGTACTTAAATGATTGGTCATATCACAACAGAAAAAGTGAGAACCAGATTCGGAGTCAACATAAGGTTCGGGTCACAGATTTGGAGTCAACATAAGGTTCGGGTCACAGATTTGGAGTCAACATACAGTGGCAGCAGCTGTAGAAAGAGGAAATATTCATTCTGACAAAGGTTCCACAAAGACAACTGCCAAGAGAGAAAAGGAAGAAACAGTCAAGTTTTTTAATGGTACGTGCAAACTGGAAAAAAAGAGAATCCTTTGTTGTCCTGCGGTAGGTGTGGAAGAATACGATAGCAAGTATAGCTCCCAGGCATTGATTGTTCTTCGCAGCTGTACTCTCACGTTGCTTCGTGTCCGAGTATGGTCGGTGCGTGGTCGAGATAGGGCTAATTGACAATCACTGCTGTTGGTTCAAGGAACCGTTTGAATAGATGGACATTGCGATCCTAAGTGATGTTTAATCTCACTATTCCCTCTTGCGCTTACTAACAGTTACTTTCTTGTATTTTTTTTTAAATATAGATTCATAGGTGCATCTTAATATGCTCAGGTTAGTATCATTGAAGAAAAGTCCTGATTACTTTGTTCTTCTTAGTTGAGTCACCACCTATTACTTGATCAATAAGCAATCTTACGTTAAAAACATCAAGTAATAGATACGTTTCCCTGACTCAAGTCTTTCAGAGAAAGAAAAGATCTTTTCCATTGAAATACCCTTTGCCCTACTGCGTACTTTAACTTCCATTTTCTGTGTTCTTCTGCAGTTAGCAAATTGCTTTCATCTTTATAGATTATCTAGTCTCATAAGCCTAACACAAGGTCTATCCTTGTAAACTTGAAAAAGAGACATAGATCACAGCAAGAGCAGGCTGAAATTACAGATTTTGTTTGAGATGAATCAGTGAACTGAAGATAGGAAGAAAGATAATCTTATTTCTTTCAGTTTTTAATTTAATTACCTTGAATCCTCCCGCATTTATTTTACAGGAAGAAAACTACAGGTAAATGACTTGGCCAACTTATCGAGCTCCCACAAGTACATAAGTGGGATTTTATTAGGAGTGTGTGAAAGTTACAGACTTTCTAATGTTTGCTGTGATCAATTTTAATGCAATAACATTAATGATTTAATGGAATAAATTTTTTTGTTCACTTTTATAAAAATAAAATTATGCAAATACAACTGCTAAATGTTTCTGAGAATTTTTTTCCTTTAAATTTCAATCAAATTTGTATGCATAAGCTCATTTCTATCATAAAGAAAAAAGAAGAAAAATCAATTGCTTATACAAAATAGTAAAAACAGTATCATACAATGAATTTAATTAATGTTTGAATTCACACATCGCAAATGATTTCCCATCGTTGTCATTTTTTTTTTTTTTTTGCTTAATAGAAAATTTTGAGATTTTATTGATTTGATTAAATTCATATTCTCCACCCACGCTTCATTTTCTCTCTCTCTCATAATGAGTTAATATTTTTTTGTTATTATTATTGTTGTCATTATTATGATCATTATTACTATTGTATGGGTAATAATTATTTGACAAATGCTCATCAATGTTATCATAAGCATGTGTTAATGAAATTGACGGAAGTAAAGAATTTGAAGAAAAAATTGAAAAAGATTGAAAAAACTAAAAATGATAATCGTTTTCAATTCTAATGAATATATTAATAGTTGTAATGCTGTCATGCTGATAATATAAATAAATACCAAAGTCTTGCACTTCTTGGATCAAGATCATCAACTAACTTTTCCACTTGAATTTTTACAAAAGCTGAAATTAACTTTCCAAATGTTGTCGATGTATATTTTTAAAACACTTTTACTGCATAATAACCTACTGCTAGAGAAATACAAAACGAAGACAATTTATATTTTTACTTATATTTATATTCATTTCTATATTTATTTATTTAAGCAACGATTTGTTCCTTTTCATTAATTAACCAACTTTCTGTGAGAAGAGATAAGAATGGTTCACAATCCGAGAAAACGAAAATATTCACTAACTGTCCATTACATAATTTTTTTCCATCAATAAACCTGCTTCTATTAGAGAATTTTGCTTTGCAACAACAATAATGGCAATAAAAATAACAAGTAATAACAATAATAGTAATAATAATCTCTTAAATGTCTTTGATCATTAATTGCGTTAATTACATTAAAAAAAAACACTTAGACGTATATTTTAAATCTGAAAAAAACAATTAAAATTTAAAAGTTGAAAAAATAAAATTTTAATTTTACCATTAATGCAACATTTCACTCAATTTCACTATTGTAAAATTCACTGCAGCGCATCATACAATGCTTTGTCTTTTTTCAACGCGCGATAAATTGTCGATGTAAACTATCATAGTGACGAAAAATTCCAGAAATTCTTAGCTTATACGAAATAGCAAACCAGGTGAAACGGAATAATTAGAAAAAAGTGACTTAAAATGATGTCCATGTAATGATGTACTAACCATATTTTGGTTTAATTGGAAGTTAACACTAATTACTTATTAAATAATAATTCTTAAAATTAGAAAGAAAGTGTGATCGAATGTTAACAGAATTGAAGTTAACAGGATAAATAATATATTGTTATACAAAACCAATTAAATGCTCCTTTTTTAATAGCAGTTTTTAATTAATTATTTGATAATTACTTGTAAGCCGCAATCATTTTTTTTTTAGAAAATTTTGACAGAAATTTTTTAAAAACTGAAATTTGAACACTCTCACAAAAAATCTATTTCGCTCTTTTTTTTTTTTTAAATTGAGTCCACTAAATTTTTGTTTTCATAACAGTCCGATTAGAAGCAAAGAAAATATTCCATGTAAAATATTTGGTAAATGAAACTTTATAATCGTCTGGTAACATAAAATGATATTTTGAATCCATTAACTCAATCAATGTACAAAAAGTCTGCGGTCATCATAGAGGACATGAGAGTAACATTACAATTTCAGTTATTTATCAGCAGACAGCAACTGAAAATTGAGAACCGAAGAATATCAACATATATTTTTATAAATTCGACTTTTTTATAAATGATCTACCCAGGGGGGTACTCCCATGCCGGGAATCAAACGTGCGCCGCGTGTGTGAAAGCATGAATCCTAGCCATTAGTTTTTTTAACCACTCCTTTAGAGCTCTTAACTGACATAAAAATATATAAATGAAAGTACTTCAAATAAGTATTTCAATACTTTTTTTCCTCTATTTACAAATGTGAATTGAATTTTGTGAATTAACCTAATATCCTAAGCTTTATTATTAATTTATTTCCAATAAGACTATCACTTTTTCAGTTTATTTTTTTGTTCTGGTTCCAGCTTTACAGCGTAAGTTCGTTATCCTGTAAGCAAGTCATAGAAAACTCTAGATTCTGGATCTTATCAGTATTTGATATTTTTTCATTGTTTGTTGCCAACATTGCAAATATATTTGTTTAGAGAGCGGTGAGCTCAGTTTTTGAGAAATATTTATTTAAATTATTGATTTTCCGAAACAATTTCTTACCTATTTTTGTGTTTCGTTTTCAAAAATTCGAACTTTTGTTTATCACAGGTGTTATCTTACAGCACAGCTTGTCGCTTACTTTCAAATGTACTTTTTTTTTTCAAATGTTAAAATGCAAATGCGTTTGAAAGTCGTAATTGACGGAAATCCTTAAATTTCCATTCATTTTACTAACAAACTAGCATTTTAGAAATTTAAAGTTATGCTATTCTTAAATTTTACAAATTTATCTTTTAATTTTTCTGTTGCAGAGATCATAGCTGTCGTTCCTACTGCTAATTCTTGCTAATTTTAAACAAGTGTTATCAACATTTTTCAATTTAAAATCTTGCCACAATATTTGTTACGGATTTGAGTTAACCGACGGATCAGGCTCAAGTCCTCTGGCAACACGTCATTAACGGGAATAATTATTTACCGCATGTGGAAGTAAGTAGGCATTTAACAGAGATTATAAATTTTAAGATAAGATTAAATAATTGGGTAAGAAAATTAATTTTAATTTTAACCTTTCCAAATTTTTCTGTCTTCTGTTTGATATTTAAAATTGAATAATTTCATATGAAATCCCGTTCCAAAATTCAAATTTAGAAGTTATCATAAAACCAACGATGATAATTTTTAGTGATAAGAAATTTTACAATAGTATCAAAACGACCAATCTTACATGCAACACGAAACAAATGAAACAGAAATCTGAAGAGAAAAAATAAGGTACCACAAATTCCAAATATGTCATCGGTGGTGGAAATGAGTGGAAGCAAAATCACTCCTCTCCCCTCTCTCCCTCCTCTCAGTTTGAACTCTCAGTATGAATGGATTTTTTCAGCTATTCTTCAGGTATTTTTGCGTGCCACAACTACATGAATTCTTAATTAAATTTTTCATCCTAACTTTTTTGTTATGATTGAAAGAACGATTTGTTTAAAATTTTCACCAGTGTTCGTTCAATTTTTGGATTATTTTCTTTTCCACAAAAATTAATTCCATCTTTTCGGTACATTCTTTTTCAACAGCATCGCTCTCAATAACGCATTCCGTATGTTCCATAAAGCTATAGTATCGATAGTGTCGAATGGACATGGAAGAATTGCTGCTTATATAAAAATAATGAAGAAAATTACTGTATAAGTTGTTATTCTTTTTTCATATTTTTATACTTTCCGAAACTAAATCTTAGTTGTTCAAGTTCTAATCTAACAGTTAGTATGATAATCTTTTTTTTTTTCAGAATTAGATGTACAATTCAGTACATAAGAAGGTCCCTTTTTAAAATTGATATCTTTTTCATTTATTTAATGGGAATAAAAAGATATCTTCGAAATTTTTAAAGCAAATCAATCAATAAATGTGAACTACGCGATATAAGAATCAGATGAATGTAGTTCTTTCTCGGGCATATCTGCAATTCGCCCTGAAAAGTTTCCAAATTCCACTCTTCAGAACTAATCTGTCACTAGAGTTTTAGTTAGGTAATGTAGATTTCTTGAAACTTAAAAAATCTAAGACCAGTTAGAATCTACTGTTGTTCAGAAGAGAAATATCAACAAATACTTTCTGTTTACTCCGATATTTCGTGATAATAATCCAGATTTCTGTTTGGTTGTTTTTTGATCATTTTCACTGTTTCCCAGGAGTTCATCCAGTTGAATAAGTTTCATCTCGTCTTCTGTTAATTTGAAATCCATTAAATGACTTTTTGGGATGACATCCTAAATCTAAGTAAGATGTGAACTTAAATAAATTAAAAGGAAGATAAATGCTTGATGAGAAGCTTCAAACCAAAGATGAAATATACTATATGAAATTTCTAGAAGTTTGTTTGATATTCACTCGCCTGTATTTTAAATGATGCTTTCGTATGTGGGAGAAGAACACGCATCCCATTCCTGCTAATTGTAGGTAATTGATTAGCTAAATCTGTTGCCATCATATGTGCGATGAATGTGTTTCGATCTAGCACATAGTTCAGCTCTAAAAAATCGTTTTATCATTACTTCATCACAAAGAACTTTTTCATTTCTCAGTTTCATTCACAATAAATGAAGTGATTTAATCATAAACAATAATATATGTCACCACCAAATTCTTGCTCTCATTTTCCATACAGTTATTTGGAAAAAGTTTAGTGTCTTATAAGATATTCCATATAATTATGAAATACAATACATCAAATACATTACTTCAGCGAAGTGAAGTGCAGACAATTTTGCAAATATTCTTATTGTTCCTTGGCTTCTCCATTTTCATGCATTGTAGCTATTTTGATGGTGTACTAGATGAAAGAATGATAAATAGTAATCAGTAATTTGAATCATTCGTTAGATTAGTAAACTGACCGAGTTGTACTTATAATGTTATTAAAGCTTAAAAGTATTGAAATAAAAACGCAACCAAAATCATCGTCATCTTCACCGAATGGATTCATTAGGTACTGGCCAACTTTAAGCCATCCAATATAGAACAATATTTGAAAAGTTGTAAAAACTGGAAACAATATGGATACTTCTTTTCTCATTGAATGTTCGTCAATTTTTGGTTGCCGTCCAATCAAACAGATCATAAAGTATCCGTAGGTTGCTATCGCCACAACCTATAAAACTTGAAAGTTTGTGAAGTTTTGTGATAGTCTCATTTTTTGATGAATAGGTCAAAAGTTATTGTGCACTTTGAATTCGAAATTACTGTAGTCATTAGGCACATTGTCCTCATTAACATTAGTCTCTGGTCTACAGTAAGTTTACCTGTGTATAAACAAGAGGAATTTTCACCCAATCGTAAACAAACAGCATAGCGAAACCATCCCTGAATGAGTAAAGTTGTTGCATTAGCATATTAAGCTGCACGGAATCAATTCGTTGTTGTCGATACAATGCTCCCAATAAATTTGATATCCACATTACCGGTACAAACCTGGGAGCTGAATAATGTAGTTTTCAGGAAATGCACCAGCAACTTACCAATGAAAAGTTCCTTTACTAAATTAACTCTCATTCAAAAGTAATTACTTAGATAAGTTTGAAGTGATGAATTGTTTCATCCCTATGTGGAAATACATTTTTAAATCTCTGAATTTACCATTTGCCATGTCTTTCCTCTACACCTGTAAACATTTTATACTCTTCTTCAGTCATCAAATGTGCCTCTACTAAATGTCGTTCCGTTGGGAATCGCTTTAAGGTACGAACTGATATTCCGGACCAAGCAATAGCTGCCTAAAATAACATTGTTCATGTATTCCATTCAAAATGATGAACAACATTGTTGCTTGTTATGATAGCAAACATATCTCGTAGAAACATTTATGGTTATTTGTGACAATATCGTTGGCTATTACTCATTCAAAACAAACCTGTAAGCTGGACCATCTCGCAATAGCTTGTCGAACGGGTAAATTGTGATCTCCGGGTAAACACGTTACTACCATCATCATTAACTTATCAGGCCAACTGATATAATTGAATTGTTCCCACCATCGTGCTACTACAACAGCAACAAAGAAGCCAAGCAAGAATGATAAGGGAATATATTGAGAGCCAATTTCGCACCAAATAATCCATCCTGTGAAGTATTCTTTTTGTTTTTCATCTAGATAATACCACTGCAACAAATATTTTATGTCCAATTTTCTTGTAAATATTAATCTAATAAATGTCAAAAATCAGAAGTCTCAGTTTCATTTATTAGGTTACTAATTAGTCAGGTTATTAATTAGTCAGTCCTTAGAATGCAATGCTTTTCAAATCCCTAGATATAAATTTGTGGTTCTCTTTCTAATTAAAAGATCACATTAAAAAGTGATGTTTAGGCTATAGTAGAAAATTGTATGTGATGTAGAATATATAAAAGAATAAATGCAAAGTACTGGGATGAACTTTTTTTCAATTAAACCATCCTGAATTTTTAATGAATTCAATGAACTTTCTAATAAAAAGCTTCAACTGATTCAGAACAATGCCAGGCATCTTAGATTTTAGGGTGGGAATTTTACATTAAAAAGATCTGCTCCAAAAACTGCAGTTGTTTTTACATGCAAAGCAAGGAAGAACATCAAGAAATTTTGCAAATTAGGAATTTGTAAAATTTCTCAAAAAAAAATTCTAATTTGAAAAAAATTAGAAATTTACTGGAAATTGAAGGCTGCAAAATTTAACCCATGATCTATGGCCTCTAAACTGTAATTTATAGCCTGTAATTTTAATTTATCGCTTGTTAGCTGATTACTTATTACTTTATTATTATTGTTACTGATCACTAATTATTAAATCATTATGTTTAACAAGAGGCATATTTTGAAAAAATAGAAGAGGAAAGCATTATTCTTTGTTGTTTATTGAAATAAAAATTTACTCAACACTTCAAAGAATCTCAAATTAACAAAAAGTGCGTAACTAGGAATTAAAATATTAGAAATACCTGGAAAAATAGAATAATATAATATGCAAAATAGAAAGCGATCAAATCCTTTAATACCGCTTTCCATAGAGACCCCCGCCATCGCAACATCAGTGATGACAATTCCTCCTCATATGAAATTGTCATGTTTCTTCTTGGTGCTTGAAAATTCGTTAATGAATAATTCCTCAATTATAATTAGATAATCAAATTCCTACAACACATTAATTACTAAGCTTATCTTGTATGAGTTAACGTGGCACTTAGGTTGCCACGTTAAGACGACGGTGGGAACAATTCAGTTATATCAGTTGGCCTGATAAGTTAATGATGATGGTAGTAACGTGTTTACCCGGAGATCACAATTTACCCATCCGACAAGCTATTGCGAGATGGTCCAGCTTACAGGTTTGTTTTAACTGACAAGTGCAAGTGCGGGAGAATTTAACGGTCTTTTTGATAAAAATTTAAAGTGACAAATCTTTGCTAGGCAATTTGTTTTTCTTCCTTTCATTTGGTGACGGTGATGGGCAAATAATAAAACCATGCTAAGCATTCACGATCAAAGAAAGATGGAATAGAGAACTTTGTATATTGGAATATTCGAATTAGTAGAAAGATATGCATGTGATTGACAAGTATATATCACACAACAAGTTCAGTCATTTAAATAATTAAGTAAACACAGAAATTCAAGAAATTAAACTCATTACTTTTATTATATCTTAAAAAAGAGCAAACTTCAAAACCCAAATCCCTAGAAGGTGACACTACCAACAAATAACGCTTTTCTAATTGAAAACTTCTTTGGAAAAACATCGAAATATATTAGTCGATTATATGATATAAGAGAGCAACGTGAACAAAATGAATCTGAGAAGTATTTAAGGTTTGATCAGTTTAGCGAAAAAGCTTGTCATCGAGCAGTTGGGTCATAGCTAAGGAAACCGATATGATCTAAGACCAAGAAAAAACAGTAATGCGAATGGAATTCACAATTTAATTCGGACAGCCCGCAAATATTCCAATCAATAATCAAATTTATCGAGGTAGTTTGACTATCAATATCGGTTTAAAAAGGAGTCCCACCGGACATAACAATAGTTACAATTGAATGCACCCGAATCAAATTTCGTGGATCATTGTTCAAATTACCACAAAAGAATCGCTCACAATTCATGAAGAAATTATTAACCCAACGTGTACAATAAAAAATAAAAACACGTTCTTATATGAGATGTCCCTTTCACTTCCACAAATCAAAAAGTGTAAAATTTACTTACACCTTCACGCCCATCTATCGAACAAGAAAAGAAAAAAAATGCAATTATCAACAGCCTCCTTCTCAATTCTTAAAAAGAAAAGCATGAAATTCGTGATGTTTGTTCAGGTAAAAAGTAAATGAACTTGTACACTGAATTAGTTGTAATTATTCCGCATTTTGCATGTCTAACTAAAAGATTTTTTTTTTTTCGAGTTATTGTCGAACTATACCAGGTTTTCCGTACATCATATAACATTGCCCAACTTTGTAGAAGTAGCTTCTACTACCTTAGTTTTTATGAAAGTTACAAGTTGACAAAAACCACCACCACCACCACCAACAACAACAATAATGGCATAAAGTTGTTGAAGAAAAAAGTTGGATATGAGTAGACAAAAAATGAAGAATGGAAGATGCGAAGAAGGTTATGTGACTCGACCACTGGTGTTTGTCAGTAAATATTGCAAATGTCATTTTTGTTCTGTAACAGTTGTACTATAAGGGCATTGCTGACAAGATGAGATATAATGCGTATATGTCAGACTTTTCCTAGTACCTGAGTCCACCGTGATGACAATACATGATAATATCCCAGTTACTTAGACAGACAAAATAATCTTTTCGTAGAGTAAGAATGTTTAAACGGTACGGATCGCACATTTGCAGACATCTCCGACTAATACCAGATTTTGGCGATGTTAGACCAAACTGTTTGCAACATAACCGATTGTCTCGATTTTGGGATGCACAATATAGTATAGAAGATATGCTATCCAAGGAACATTTCTTCTTATGGAATGTCTCCAGTAACTGAAAGCATAACTTGATGACGTATATCTACGTTACGTTAACGTCCAAAAGAAATGAAACACTTAGCTGCGTTTTACCTTTTACTATCACCTTCCCTTCCATATAGGAGAAACAACTCAAGTTATGAAAGAGTCCATGACGATAAAACTGGTTGAACAAAAAACGAGGCGTGATTGTCGTATGCATATCAGTGTAATAATAAAGATTAAACTAGAAAGCAATACACACAAGTGATTGCGCCACGTCACGGTTTGTTTCATATTGGCACAGTTCATGGCACTTCGATTCAACGTATAATTTACAGCAATCATAGAATATCTGATCAGCAATCTCTTTCTGAATACATGGCGCAAATTCTGCACTAACTGTGCCACATTCCTAAAAAATGACATTTACCAAACATTCAAAAATTGAAGTACTGGATAAATGCTTATAAATGTACGATAGATAATTTTGTCTTAAAACTTTTCAAATAGTTCGCATTTGAAATGAGAATTCGAGTAGTTGAGTGCATTAAAACGACCATTTCAATAATGTCTAACCCCTTTATTTTGTCGATTACTTCATTTCTACTACTTTTACGATTAACAACGGAAAGAAAGGATACCTTCACGTCAATTAAATCCTCAAAACTTTGGTCATGCCGGGCTATGTTACGGAAGCAGTTCAGAGTTGCCCACCGATGGCACTAAAAGACAATTCAATGCAAACCTTCACATTTACATATTTAGGTGATTTCATGTTGAAACATAACTTCACTTCTGTTTATTATATAGTAAATATGTGTGCCTTGCAGAGTGATAACATTTTAAAATACAATGAAAAGGGTACCTTCTCGAAACATATGTTGTAAATAAATGGATTGCAACAATGTTTATGATGCATTATGTCACAACGAGTTCGGGATTTCCCGATTCCATATTCAAAGAATATAAATATTACGAAATGAATGATCCAAACTGATATCATTGCGTTCCTATTTCTAAAATGCACTTTTGAATGACAGATGACCGACAGATGGACGACGTCTTCCAAAATTTTAATTACACTAATAAGAAAACAAATTTGAATCTCTTTGTAGTACTAAGTAATATGAAAACAGCATTGTGTTTCATGTTGAATGATCACGGTCCAACTGAAATTCTTTTTTTTAAGGAAATAAAAAACCAGTCACTGAAAAAAGGATGAGAGGTATTTCAGCAAAATGTCAAAGTAACTTTGACATTTTGCTGAGAGTTACTTGTTTTCATTTAATTAAATTAAAACCCTCCTAAGCAACTCTTCAAGTTAAACAACAAAATTATTCTTTTATATGAATTATTTTACCTTACTTTACCTTGCTCTACTTGCTAAATAAATTCAGCACGGTTATATTTTCTCCGAAATGAAAGAAGGGAGCATTTGTTTCTCGGATTTAAGATGGTAAGTGAGAATAAGCTGTGAAGCAGTGAATTTTTTGTTTCCAACCGGATAAGTTACTCGACACAAAGTAGATTAGTCACCAATCTCTAAATCAGCAATGCAGAGAAAAGACACTGTACTGAGGGATTAAGTACTATTCTGAAGTGATAACAAAAGACGATATTTTCGATATAATGTTTAACTGAATTGCAGCAAAATTTGTGATCAATACCAACATTAAGGACCTACGTATTATAGCAAAAGAATTTAAAGCTCAGAACTACAAAATGACAAAAATTATAAGGTATTGGTGCGTTACAAATACCTCATTCGGCAATTTTTTTTACATGCATACAGTTAAACCAAAAATAGCATATTACTAGATGCCATAAGAAATGAACACATTTTATGACATTAGGTAGAAAATTGTCGAGGTTTTCGAGTTGAAATTTATGGGAAATTTTAGAACGTTCACTAACTGTTTCAGTTTATAGGTGAAAAACATGCACTTTTCGGAATTCGCCGAGCCATTCAAAAATTAAAAATAAAAGTTTGTGAAATTCTCCTATGATATCTAGGATAACCCACCCATGTCTCTCGATTGAGATGATGTGACATTGAGGATTTTCATACTTTTCATGACCTTGACAGTAGGAAATGGAATGCTGATGGCATCACACAAAACGCCATGTTTTTTCCAAGGAACAACGCTCTGGATGACATATTTTTAAAAAGGTTCAACTACCATAAGCTATTGTAATCACGACTGTTGTTTTTTAAAAGATGCTTTTATTTTCCTCGAGGCTAATTCTTTTTTATATATGGACTTTGGATACTGTCATCTATCTACAAAAGATTTTCTCAACTGACTCACAAGTACTAATATGAAAGTTTCGGAATACATGATGATCAGTTTCAAAAGCACATTAGTTTTATTGCTAATTTAATAAAATAAAATTAACAGAAGAAACTAAAACAAATGTAATATTTCCTTCTAAACATCTATTTTCTTGATTGAACTCAAACTAAGTTATCTCTGAAGACTTTAATTTAAAAAAATCTCCGCAATCATAAATTCCGTACACTTACTGAATTTGTCCATCCAAGTCTAAGCTTAAACTATCAATGTCTCATGTTTAAGAAAAAGAAATTGTACTAATCTTATCAGCTACACAGTACAAACAGCCTTGGTCAGCAATATTTTAATATTTTTCCAGCAAAAAAAAAAAAAAAAATTCCATAGAGCTTATAAATACAAATTTGCATAATTTAAAACTTTCAATATACATTGTAACCAAGAAGAATGCGCTGAACTACATCAAAATCAAGGAATGGAGTCTTGAAATAGTCTGAAATAGAGAGATTAGAACAGCAAAGAATTAAGAAAAGACCAGAAAATCCATACTCTACAAAAACATACTCAAAGTTCCTCCCAAAGTTCAATCTATTTAAGATAAGAAAAAAACATCTGCACATAATCAGTGGAACATTTAACAATTATCAAAGTAAACTAATGGCATAAGATACTTTTTTTGAGCTTCAAATTTCTCCATCGCTGCTTTCTACATAACTCTCATACAATGCTTTCTCATATTCTTCCCTCATTTTCCTCTGCAAATTTTCGATACTAATTTGTCGCTCGACTTCTTCAAGCAGGAAAACAGGTATTTCTTGTTTATTCATTTCAAGCCACTGAATTGTGAAAGAGTGAATATCAGAAGAGCAATCAAAAAGAAAAAAAATCGAGAATTGTGTAAATGATTTTGAGTTCCTTTCAGAAATCCAAAGAAATTTAAAGTCTGAACTCGCAAAACCATTAGTTGCATATTTTGAAAATTCTTCAAAATAATTGATAGTTCGAATCAAGGGTTTCTTTCGAGATTTGTGAGTAAAAAAATTTTACAAAATAGTACTCCGTAAAGCTTTAAAGCCATGCCGTGATCCACGGATTGAGCAAAAAATGTGGTTGCATGACCAACATTTCCAACGCGTCCTGTACGTCCAACGCGGTGAACATATGACAAAAAACTTTCAGGTCTGGGTATTTCATAATTTATTATCTAAACAAGAAGACTGATATAAGCGAAAGAGATTCGATATATATATATTGTAACTGTAAACTTTGAGAACAGAAATATTTCATATCCAAAGAGTAACACCTTGCAAAACATTTTGTCTCGAATAATTTTCATCTTCTAATATAAAAATGAAATTCATAAAATTCTGAAATAATATACATGTGAAATGCCCTTGATATCCAAACCTCGCGCAGCCACATCAGTGGATACCAGTATGTGGCAATCGGAGCTTTGCAGGGCTTCAATCGCTTCTCTTCGTAACTTTGCAGTAAGATTTCTGAAAAAAGTATCGAAGTCAACCTAAAGTCAAGGGTTTATAACGTTAAATGCAAAATACCTCATGGATATCAGGAATGATAAATTAGCATTTTCCTACAAGTTTTTTTTCTACTATGAAAATGATATGAAATGCAATAATTTCAAGTTTATTCGGAAACAAAAGCGTACGCATGAATTGGATAAGCTTTATATCCCTTCAACGACAGATAACATGCAATAACTGATGCAAAACGTTTTGTATTAACAAAAATAATTATTTTTGATGGTGAATTATCATCCCCTGCAATAAAGAATAAATATCTTGTGAGAGAATTAGCTTCTTAAGCCAATTAGGTTCATTATCTATATAGCCAATTAGGTTCATAATGATAAATAAGCATCGAATTATTTATCTATATTCAATATTCATGCCTTGCACTATATATCTCAGAAAAATAGGATTTTGTGATTTAATTGGAAATGACGGAGTGAAATTTGCTCTGCTTTCCCTTCAGTCAAGGGAAGCACTACTATCTAGGGTAGAAGTAGATAAGAAATTTTTATTAAGGCTGGATTACTCTTTAAATATATTTCTTGCATTAAATTCAACAATGCATCGCGTTTTTCATGAACTTCAACCTGGAACGGAACATATATATATATATATACATACATACATACATACATGCATAATTTAACTGTGATAAATTTGGTTTTTTTTTTTTTTTTAGAATATCGCTTTCTGTCCACTTCAGACATATTACGTATTAAAAGTTGGGAATTATTAAAATGCATCTGTCGAAATCATAATTCTTAATCATGAAAATAGGACAGTGAAGCACACTTGCTTCCAAAAGCAACAGAAATTAATAACTAATTAATTAAATCAAAACTATTGCTGAAATTTGAAAATTCGAAAACTTCACAAAATCCTAATTAAAAACTAAAGGATTAAAAAAAATGAAAACAGCCTACCTTTAAAACTCGCTGTTCGATAAATGGGTTTACACTGTTCAGAGTACCAACAACAACTTTTGTAGCATTCGGCATCAAACATTCACCTTTTAATTCAGCAAGATCGTTATAGTCTGTGGCACTGAATAACATTTTTCGGAGGTTTGGAATCTATAATAATTTAAGTTCTTAAGTGCAGGTCCAGTTCTCTACAGATGTCGAAAAAACAAAATCACGAGTTGATATGTCGTAGAGGATGGCATTTTAATTATTTTCTTTGTCGTAATAAATAAATAAGCTACAATATACGAACACATTCTTCCTCTTTTATTTATTTTTATTTAGCAGTGACACACGACCATTCTACAAATTTGGAAAAAGTATTGAAAACTACGAGAGAAATGCGAAATGACCTACCTCATGACACTTTGGTAAAAGATTTTGAACCAAATCATGATAAAACCCCTCCATTTGTAACAGCTTGTCTGCTTCATCAAAGACCAAAAAATGTAAACAGCGCAAGTCTAACTGTAATACCTTTTATTGAAGAAATATTGAATTTAAGTTGTAATATAAATTGCTTGCAATTTAAGTATATATAGTAGAGGATTGCTTGCAACTGTAAGAAGAATAGTGATCTTTGCAACCTTAGAAGTGGGAGAACAGAAATCCACAGAGGGTTGCGCTTTTTAACATATATTTTTATGCAACATAATTGCTTATACAGTGCAATCTGAACATACATTCTCCATAAAATTGTGGAAACCTACAACTGGTATGACTTACAATCTTATTCTGAAGATAATCACAGAGTCGTCCAACAGTACAAATGAATATATCACACCCTTCTTTGATGCGCGCAATGCTGTCTTTACGAGGTATCTCACCAAAACTCACTACAGTGACGCAATTTAAACCTGAAAAAACACTGTTACAATTACTTCCACTGCTCAGTAAGTTTTCAAGCTTATAAGCTCACTAGTTCATACATTCTCTCCAATTTCAGAGCAAGCAAGAGACATCACCAAAATTCTTGAACTAAAAGTTATGGTCAGTCAGACTTGAGTTATCATAACTTTTAGTTATAATTCCCTTTTATTTTTCTCCGGGAGAGAATAAAAATGTTTAAAAACACTAAAATACATAGTAAAACCAAGCTTCACTCATGCAACATTCTTTAGAAACTGGTAGTCT